ACTATAATTCCTTATCAAAAAACCATAACGAACCCAAAAAGGAACTACATTGGAGCTTCTGGGTAGTGATTATAACAGGGTTCAGACTGCACTGGCCTGTCTGTGCAGAGCCAGAAGCTCGCTGCAGGCCACGAACTTTTTTTTCCGGCACGAGCTAGGGCAGGGTTTAGGGCCTTGGGATGTAGCTTGTGTTTGTTTTCTCTTGGATCTTGGCACAGGATGCCTTCACCCAGCAACCTTAACACGCACAGTTTCCGGAACTTCGCTTTCTACACTCGACAGCTTGCAGCACCTTGCGTTCTAGTTCCAAACACACAACACCTTCCGTCTATTCTTACGGACTTCGATTCTACGGGTTCAGAAGTTTTGGTTCCTGGTGGAAGAGGCACGCGAAAGGTCAGGAGTGGGAGGTTGCCTCGTTGAGCTAGAGGTACGAGGGCCCGAACAACACGATGTACCTTCCGGGCAACACCCACGACCGCCTCACGGCGGACCCGCCAGCTCCCCAGAGACCATGAGCAGGATTGGGTTTAGTGACTCTTGCAGCGTTGAGGCTTTATCAAATTTGGGGTACAACAGAGGGGGTGCCAAGCCCTGAAGATAAGGGCCAACGGCCGATACACTAGGCACTTCCCCGCCAAATCTTCAACCTGCAGTTGCAGTTGCAGTCGTCGTCGTGGTGGTCGTCGTCGTCGTCGTCGTAGTAGTAGTAGTAGTAGTAGTTCTACCTGTACTAGTACTAGTACTAGTAGTGCTTGTAGCAGGATTAGTCGTGCCGTTGCCTGTTGCGGTAGTTGTCGTTGTCGCTGCTGCTGTTTGTGGTGGTGATGGTGGTCCTGTTCTTGTTCTTGGGGGGCTTATCATTATTATTATTAATATTATTATTGTATTGTTTATGTTTACTTGTATTGTTGTATTGTTGTTACTGCCCTCTTGCTGTCGCTCTCCCTGTTGCTGTTGCGGTTGCTGCTGCTGCTGCTGCTGTTTTGTCGTGGTTGTGGTGGTTACCATCGTTGACCATCCCAATACAACCGCCCCGCTGCCGCCGCCACTCCCATCACACCCATCACCGCACCCATCACCACCGCCACCATTTTGGACACAAGCGCAGCAGCACTGATCAACATCATGTGATCATGGAACAACCAATCTCTGCCACCGTGCTCCTTCAACCCTCGAGACCTTCGAAAACCCTCATGAAAGCCCCGGAGAGGTCTTGAAAGTCTGCAAGGGTGGTTCTCCAATCCAGAGTCCCTCTTTGTGGTTCCCACAGGATCGCAGCATTCTGACAAGAGGGATATTAAAAGCCACCATACTGCAGAGACCTTCTCCTGCCAAGCAGTCATGGGGTTGGCTCTGCCCAGACCCTGCAGCCCCCTTTCAATGCCCTGATCAGAACCGGCTCATCCCTCAACCAGAATTATGTACAACCACGATCTCACTAGAGTGGTTCTTGAAGCACGGGGATGGAACCTTCAAGCACACAGAAGCCTCAAAACCAGGCGTGCTCCTTTCACTGCTGCCGAGTGGGAGGAGAGGAAGCAGTACAGGCCGGCTGGGTCGAGTCCAAAGCCTTTGATCCATTTCCTTCGGGTCGTTGCAGACGCTTTGGAGCCTCAGATAGTACTTGTAGCCCTAAGCCCTAAGCCTTAACCCCTAACCCCTAACCCCCCAAACCCTAAACCCCTAAACCCCTAAGCCCTAAACCCTAAACCTTAAGCCCGAGGCCCCTACACCCGACACCCCGAGACACTATACATCTCGAAGCCCAAGCACGCGGAAAGCCCTAATACAGGGGCCTTTCTAATTGCCTATACTATTTTGGGGGTTCCTGATTGTAGGTATAGCATAATATACCGC